TCTACTTATACATCAGTGGACACTTGGGTTGCTTCCACCTCTTGCCTATTGTGAATAATGCTTTTATGAACATAGGTGTACAACTATCTCTTCAGATATCTGCTTTCATTTTGTTTGGGTATATACCTTGAAGTGGAATTGCTGAATTCTATGGTAATCTTTTTTTTATATTTTTTTCTTTGTTTTTTGGAGAGTAGTTTTATTAGCTCGGGATATAATGGGATCATCACTAGGAGGGCAGGGTATTCCACTGGTTACCATGTGCAGCTGTCTGGGGAGCACGATAAAATTCAGTCCAGGGTTCTGTGCTGGGGAGCAGGGCCTTAAAAAGAAGGCAAATTGTCCAGGGAAGTAGTAGCTGTGAGGGTCATGGCTGGCCTGCTCCACTCTACTGCACTGAATCTCCTGATGCTTTTCAGGCTCCTGTCCATCCTGCATCTGTATGGGGCAATGGACCATCTGGCCTAAAATTTTATCCTCAAGTTTGATGTAGGCCAGGCATTTCTGCTTCTTTCCACTGGACTTGACTTTGCACTCAGAATTCTTCTTCCAGAAACTTGTATACTGGAGCTTAAATTCTAGCCTCACAAAGGTTCCTGCTGGGAAGAGTGTATCCATAGCACTGCTCATATTGGTCTCCCTGAAGCCTCACTGCATAAGTGGATGCTTATGGAATTTAGCCAGGGCACCTGCAGGCCCTGCTCCTAGGCCCTTAGGAGCTCAGCTCTGCCTAATCCCATGGTGCCCAGCCATAGGGCCAGCAGGATCAGCAGCTACTGCATGGGTTTCCCTCAGTCACCCTGGACCTTCCTTCCTGCGCCTTCAAGAAATTTCCTAACCTTCACCGTGGCTAAATCTTGGCCTCAGCTGTCAGTCTCTTCCTGGTCTCCTCCCCACATCCCTGCCCCTGATGCTCTTTCCTACTATGGGGGCCTATTTTCACTTATGTACTTATTTTCTCCCTGGAATTATAAACCCTGTTGATAGATTGTAACATCCTTAAAGCCAGCAAAGATAAACATGTTTCTATCTTCATGATAATCAGTTATTATTTGGTCTACAATACAACGTAACATTTTTTAAATGTATTTTCAGCCTTACTATAAGAAACAGTCCAATGGGAACTTATAGTTGTGTTTATCAAAAGAGTTTGTTGAAGGTGTTGTTTATTACATTACACAAGGATTTCTTCCCACAAGAAATCCTTTTTGCTGACTTTAGTGTCAAAAATGGATGGGCATGTTTGAGGTGATGGATATTCCAATTACCCTGTTTTGATCATTATACTTCACATGAATGTATCAGAATATCACATGTATCTCATAAGTATATACAATTATTATATATCAATTTAAGAAAAAACTGGATGGACTTCTCTGAGAAACTGGCTTGCTGTTATCTAATGAATGTTTTAAACTATTAGTATTTTTCATTTGTATGAATTTTTTATATTTTCATTATTCTGGCTTCCACTTTATGACTAACCATATCTTCCTTTAACCATATTTTTCTCATCTACTTTCAATTTGTATTGCCCTCCTGAATTGTGTGTGTGTAAACAATATACTTAAATGCCTTTTCATGCAAAGCATAATTTAAATAAATACATATTAAACAAAGACCTTAAAGTTTTAAATGGAAAATAGAAAAACATTTCTGGTATAATGACTTTTGGTATGGTACAAACAAACAGTCTAGAGGTTTGGAAACCATCCTTTCCATTCCTCCCTCACTCCTAATTCTGCATAGTCTTTAAGAGCATGGATTTAGAGTCAGATGGACTTGGGTTTAGACCTTGCCTTACCATTTATAAGCTGTGGGATCCCAGGCATGGTCCCTAAATTTAAATTTTTTTATCTGTAAAATCAAGATAATGATATACAGTTCATAAATAATAGAAGGTATTACTATTATTCAGCATCAGTTCTTCTATATAGAATTGATATAAAACTATTGAAAGTGTAGCCTTTTTCAAAATAAATTAGGACAGAATAAATGAGAACAGTTCCAGAAGAAAATTATCCTTCCTTTTAAAATTGTATTTGGTTTCCTTGAGAATCCTTGTGAAAACAAATCATATACTACTTGTTATAGAGCAACTACTTGCTTGTAGGAGGATGACTGTTAAGGATGCCTTTGAAGAACATAAAGAACAGGGGTTTCTCAGGTCAACATGTATTATATTGGTTTCAGTGGTATCTAAAAACTATTTGCAATGTTTCCCCTTTCATTCATTCAAATGCAACTTCAGATTGAATGCCATCTGGGTACTCTACACAGTATTGAATTCATCAAGAGTATGCTAGCATGGACTTTAGTCCTTGGTAGTTTTAATTTTTTTTCTGGTAGGTCTAGAAGAGTGTGATTTCATTAGCCAATGTTCTATGTTATTCTTCTTTTTCATTTTAATAACTGTATGTTTCTATCTCCATTTACTCATTTATTTTTGCAAGGGTATGAATCCACTTTATTGTTGAGATGTGTGGTTTTTTTTTTTTTTTTTTGGTCTTGAGATGGTGTGATATAGTCAAAGTAGGTTAGATTTTGGATCCTCTGGGACCAGGTTTCAATTCTTGGTTTTCCTGTCAGTTACTTACTGTGTACACTTAGAGAGTTACCTAGTCTCACTGACCTTTAGTTTCTTCACTTCTGAAATTGGTATAACAGTAGTCTCTTTGACACTACTTGGCATCTCTCTGTTTACTCCCATTCTCACCATTATCCTGTAATTTTCTAAAGGAATATTCTACATGCAAGGCCGTCACTTTCTCATTTCCCAGTCACTGCTCAATCCTGTAGTCTGTCTGGCTTCTCTTTGCATTATTCTAATACTGTTCTGGCTAAAATCATCGATAATCTCTTAACTCTCAGAGTGCTTTAGTCCTTATCTTACTAGAATGCTGTGCTGCATTTAACACTTGTCTGTCATGCCTTCCTTATTATTACCTTGTCCTCTGATCCATTTTTGTTTTCATTCTTAGATGTTGCTTTGTCTGATCAACCCTCAAGTTTTATGGACCACTATACCTTTCACCCTATACAGTTGAGGGAGATTGGTTCCAGGAACCCCCACAGATACCAAACTCTGCAAATGCTCATGTCCCTTATATAAAATGGTATGGTATTTGGATATAACCTATGAAATCCTCCTGTATACTTTAAATAATCTCTAGGTTACCTATAATACCTAATACAAGTACTGCATTCCTTGAGGTCTGTGTCTTATTTACCCTTTTATCTCCAGCATTCACAGCAGTGCCTGACAAATAATTCCTTCATTTTTCCCCTTGTTCCTGACTTTGGAGTCTTCCTTTTAAAATATAAATCCTGTTTAGCTATGTGGCACTGTAATTAGTACCAACTCCATTTAGGTATTCAGCACATATTTGTAATGGTATCAATTTACATGTTTATTTTATTTACAAATATCTCAGTGAACTCTCACACAGATCCATAATGTTGTCTTATAGTTATTAGGCCGGGAGTCCCTCATCTTACTCACAGACTATTAATCTACCTGCATCTACATCCTGCATCTATCTGCTCCTTCCCGCCTTTTTCAATAGAGATGTACAGTTCTTATCGACATTTAAATATCTTCAAGTCTTAGCATCTTTAAGAAAGAAAAACAAACTCGATATCCTCTTATTTTTTTCTTCTCTTATGTAGCCTGACTGCTTTGAAGATTCCTCAACTCATTCGGTGCTGGCTTATTGCCATCACTGTGAAAACAACTCTCAGGAATGTCACTAGTGACTTTCACGTTGCTATATCCAGTGAGAACATTTCAGCCCTCAGCAGTATACACATACTAATGGAGAATGAAAGAAAAAGCAGGTTGTATAGAGAGGCTACAAAGTAATTCTAGTTACTTTAAGGAAGTTTGAGAATATAGTAAAGACATCTGTGGCCTTATACTAGACCCTGTGAGGAATCACAGTGCTTTTAGGACTGACTCATTTTCTTTCTCAATGGCTGCATAATCTCTCTGTTTGGAAACTTGACTTCCTTTTGTACATCTTTTCTAATTTCGTCTCTGTTTTTTTCTATTTTTTTATAATTTCTGCTCCTCCATAACTTCAGCTGGAATGTAGCCCATTATAGCCTCTGGTCTCCCTCCTTGACATAATGAGGACCTCTTAGTTTCAGCTAATTGCCTCATTTTCTTGGTATTCTTTACTTAAATTTCTAGAGCGTTAGTTTTGTTAGTCCAGTTCATCATTTGTATCAAGCCACTTCACAGATGATTGAAACCGACTCAATCTATAGCCTAGCCAATCACGTATGAATTGCCCCGTGTAATCCTGATTTCTACTTTTAGATTTGAGTAAAATCCAAATTATAATGGATTAAGGAATGCATCACAGGTGAGGAAATAAGGGTAAGGGCTTGAATCCAAAGAGGGTGACAGACTAGTGAGGAGCACACATGATCAGTGAAATCAAAATAAGGATTTTGTGTTTTGTTTTAAGATGGCAGAGATTTGAACACAGAATGAGTCAATTAATAGAAAATAGTTGAAACAAAGAGAATTTAATTTTTTAGTTACTGAAGTCATCTTAAGGTGGCAGGAGATGGGACTACAGAGTACAGATAGATAGATTAGCTTTAAATAGGAAAGACACCTCTTCCTCTGAAGTGGGGTTTAAATAAGAAAGTAAGAAGGTGATGCACATAAATTTAAAAATAGGGGAACCTGCCTGTTGGCATACTTTATGAAATAGTCAGCAAGGAGAACTGCACAGACGTGAGATAAAGATTTCCAGTACGTGCTGAGGAAAATTCAACTAGGTACCTGACAACTATGAGTATGATGACGTGATTTTCTTTTTCACCATAGCTCATATGTAGGTTAAGAAAGGGTGAAGGATTTGGCTAGTTCAGAGTTAAAATGGACTTAATTTGTGACATGGTAGCACTAATGCTTGCTTCTCCCACCCTTCACGTTTGTTTGGTTTGGCCATGTTTTCATTGTGGTCTTTCATACTTGTATTTTGTAGGTCTTGATGACTGTTTGCAGCAGTATATTAAGAACTTTGAGAGGGAGAAGATCAGTGGGGACCAGCTGCTGCGCATTACACATCAGGAGCTAGAAGATCTGGGGGTCAGCCGCATTGGTCATCAGGAACTGATCTTGGAAGCAGTTGACCTTCTGTGTGCATTGGTAAGGACATAAAACTGGTGAAGAGGGAAACTTCCCTTTTCTTCTTTTGTTACTTTTCCCTTTTTTTTTCTCCTTTTGATAATTGAAATGCAAATAGAAGAAAAAAACCCTGATAACCAACTGGACCTGATATTTTCTTCCTTCCTTAAATTTTTATGATGTTAGTGCCAAATAACCGTTCCCTGATTGTGACATCTTTTATAACAGTAAGAGTTGGGTATATCAAAACCTTAAGTCCAGAGTGTATGTCTCATAAACAGGACTCTTCATAGATGAACCACTCATGTGCTAGGCTCTCACACTTTGAGAAAGGAAAGAATATTGATGGTTGACAGTGTTATATACATACAGTCTAGACATTTGAAGTTTGACCTATGAACAAGGCTCTGCTGACCTAAACCTACTTAAAAGCATGGCATCAGAAATAGATGTCTAGACCACTTCTAAGTTTGAACCATGTAGCTGTGGTGAATCCTTTCAGATGCTGAGCTTTAATCCCTGTACAGTTCTGGGTTTAAGCACCAGGTTTAAAGTCATGTCATTTGGATGCTTCATTATGTGATTGAGCTCTTCTGGAAGTTAACGCGGAAAATAAATTTAAACACCAACTTTTTTTTTCTGTTTATTGAGCAGTTCCTTAGTTGCAGTCCCCAAAGAAGTCAAATGTTAAACTTCCTTCTTACCCCTTCCTAATGTAATGGATATACATCAACAAGTCAGAAGTACAGATACATTTCAGTTTATGCAACAGATGCTTTCTGGGGAATATAAAGCAAATTTCTGGGTCGTGAATTCTGATTTTCTTCTACATACCGTTATGAAATCAGGAGGTGAGATTCCTTATCAGCAAGCTGAGTTGACTAGTCCAGGAAATTGTACTATTGGGACTGTATCTTTACCTCCTTCCCCTCTGTCCCCAACTGCTCTTCGAATTTTATCCTCAACTACCCTGCTAAGTCTTGTCTCTCTGATCTTCACTGGCCATTCTACATTTTCCTTATGTCTACTGTATTCTTTTCTTTTTCAACAATTACATATTCCTGCTCAAACAGTGCTATCGCTGGGAATGCAAAGATGAAAAAGACGCAGTCTGTACTCCTAAAATATATACAGTCCATTAAGAAAGACAGTAGCCATTAGAAGACAACATAGATTTAAAGAAAATTCCAGGGGAGTGTAGAAGGAAATGAACTCTTCTGAGGGATTCAGAAAGTGTAGGTAACGTATGCATTTGGTCTTACAAGATGATTAGATGTTTGCCAGACAAAAAGTTGGAGAAAAGTTATCTAAGCAGAAGAAATATCATGTGTAAAAACAGAATTGTGAAAGAATATGGAATATTCAGAGAAAATTGAGAATTGTCATTTAGTTTGTGTAGAATGGGAAATGATGAGAAAAAACGGTAACACCTTACACCTTGTATCACATTACAATTCTTTGCTTAGGTTCTTTTATCCTTTAATTCATGTTGGACTCCTCAAAGGAAGACACCTTTGTTTAGTTCATATTTTTTATTTAGCTTTCTGCCCAGTGCTAAGCTCATAAAAGATGTTAAATTAATGTTATCTTGCTGAATTAAACTCTCTTGTCTTTCTTCAAAGAACCATAATTTTTCTCTTGCCTACACAGCCTTTGACTTTGAGGTTTCTGTTCCTCAAATAAGGAAGACATAGAAAAATTAGCAGATTCCTTTTGTTTCTTTAAGCTATACTGTATTTTCATCTACCTTGTCTTGAAGTTATTCCTTATGTGCATAAATGTTTATGGCAGCTGATGAGAATCAAAGGTTTATTTAGTCACTTATTTATTCATGCAACATATATTTATTAAGCATCAGATATATTGTTTGCATCATGTTATTCTAGAAAGAAGTAAGCTGTTCATGATTTGGAGGTGTAATAATATTTCAAGCTATTAAGCTATCATTTAGTATGCTTCAATAGAGAGCAAAGAATATTAACTGAAAGAGTAAAAACATAAATAAAATATATAGAGAGAGCTTAATGTATGGGCCTTGATTTGTGTTCTGACAATACACTTTTTATTAGGAACTGTAAATAAATCATTTATGACAGGATAAGAACAGTTTTCATTTCATTTTTCATGTACTTATAATTTCAGGCATTTTGCATGAAAGATTTGATGTTTGCAATTGCTGGGATTTGTTTCTTTGCAACATAATTGCTTGGTTCATTCATCTTAAAATAATTTATTTTCCAAAAAAATTCATTAAAGCAAGCCTTTTAAGACTCACTCGTATTTATAAAGCAATGTATTATAAAGCTAAAAACCTGCTACACGATGCATTTAAATTAAGAACTCTACAAACCTGCACATTATGCACATGTACCCTAGAACTTAAAGCATAATGATAATAATAATAAAAAAAAAGAAAATGTGGCGCATATGCACCATGGAATACTATGCAGCCATAAAAAAAAAGAACTCTGAATAAAATGGCATTGACATTGTAAAATATGTGGTGCCAATATTAAGTATTTCTAGTTAAGTGGTTAGTGAAATTTTGCCACTGGTGAGGATATAGCTGACGTTACTTTTCTAAAATGTTAAATGCGTATGTTTATTTCTTTCAAATGCTTTTGCATGCATATGATTGAAAGAGAAGGCTGATATGAACTTAGCACAAATTCATTAAGACTTAAATGGCTGTGTTCGATCAGTTCTAAGTCACTACTGGTTCTGGCACATGGTAATGGCCAAGTATATGAACAAATAAGTAACATATACGACAAACACAGCAGCTAAGTACATTTCATGTCTAAGTTTTTGTTTTCTTGAGGTAGTCCTTTTTATACTAATAGTAATACCAAGTTTTGCTATGCATATCCAATAAAAAGCGAATCTGTAGTGAATAAACCTGCATTTTTAAAAAGTTGATGCAGTGCCCTCCGTACCCCTGGCCTAAAGCGAAAGGTGCTTGATTTACTTGTCGATTCTTTAAATGGTAGGTAAGAGTGTGTGATGTACTGGTGACTTACCAAGTCACAACAAACCATCCACTTACATGAAAGAAATAGCCAGAAGGTATCTGTATTGGTAGTAATTGAGAATTGTAATGATAAAAATTAACTTGAGGCTGGGCATGGTGGCATGCCTGTAATCCCAGCACTTTGGAATCCTGAGGAGGGCAGATCACTTGAGTCTAGGATTTCAAGACCAGCCTGGGCAATGTAGCAAGACCACATCTCTACAAAAAATTTAAAGTACTGGCATACACCTGTAGTACCAGGTACTCAGAAGGCTGAGATAGAAGGATCGCTTGAGCTCAGGAAGTTTAGGCTGCAGTGAGCTGTGATAATGCCACTGCACTCCAGCCTGAGTGACAGAGCGAGACCTTGTATCAAAAAATAAAATAAAATAAATTTTAAAAATTAAAAAATTAACTTCAGAGATCAGTTAATCTTTTTTGTTAAAATAGTAGCACATAAATCTGTTTACATACAGATGAGCTTCTAACCTATTATACTCTTCTAAATTTTTTAAACATGTTTTTGGATTATTAGTGTAGACTAGAACAAGTTTTAAGAATTTCCTTCCCCATCCTCTGCTACATATCTTTTAAAGATTCTTTTTGCCTCTACATTTCTCTGTCCTCCACATTTTTCACCTCTATTCTGCATAATGTATTTTTAGGAGGTTTCCAAGTTAGGTCTTCTGAGAGTATCCTTGCAGGTTTTGTCTGGATGATTATTATATTCCCTAATTATTGAGTCATATGAAAAATAATAATTTTAGTTTCTTAAATTTTGAAGACTCTGAAATATTTTTACTTTGCCTTTGGATTTTTATTTATAAGAAGACTAATATTATTTTACCTTTCCTAATAAATCATTTGAGATGCTAGTGTTATATAGAGAGAAATAATTTAAAATAATCTTTTATGAAAGCTAATGGCTACAGAGTGAAATATCAGTTACCAGGTTGATTGAGTAGGCTTCTCTCTAATTGTTATAATTTGAACTTCTCTAAGAGATTACTATATTTTGTTGGCAGACAAATGTTTTCTTATTAAAATCATTTATACACAAAAATGAAAAATGCCATCATTTTTTACTTTAGAAAAATGCTTTAACACAGGGAAAACTTCTAAAAGTACTTCTCAGTATTTTCATTTACAATTACATTTACAGAAGAAGTATCATTTACAGTTAGTTTGTATAGTTATAAATTGTTCTTATCTAGTCATTAGAGAGCATCTTTTATAAACATGAGAGGATTTCTTTCTTTCTATAGTGACCAGCTGAACAAACTCTCCCACATTTCACAAATAATTCATTCTCAGATGCAATATAATTTGAATAGAATGTTGTTTTATTTGCACAAGCCAAATCTTTTAACTTGAGAGAAGAATATTACAGTTCAAATTAAGCAGTGAATATTTAACATATTAATACTATGTTATTTTAGAAAAATTTATAACTTTAGAAGAAAGTGTTCTTTTAATATGTAAATTCTAAGCAAAAGACAAGCAGACTTTTATCACCATTAAATCTGTAGTGGTAACATACATAACTTGGTATTTAATGTTTAGACATCAGCACCTTCCTCTCCCCTCATTTTGTCTCCACTAAGTTTTCTCTTGTCTTAAATTGCCATAGGAAAAAAGACACCTAAATGTTGTACAAAGTAGGTACCCAGTGGTTGTTGACTTAATAATATAGCTTAATTTATTGTATGACTTAATTTCCTTTTTCACTCTTCATCTTACACTTTGATTTAATTATTGTTACCATGTTTCTGAGAGTAGGAGTAGAATATTGATGCTAAGGAATGTGGTAGACATATCCACTCACAGATGTCCTGGTGACTTGCAGTTCCATTCTGAACTCTGTCTAGTTTAAGTACTGAGTTTTTTAAGCAAAAAAAAAAAAAGAAATCTTCCCATACCTCAGTTTCCCCAACTATGAAAAGGTAAGTCAAACTTAGCCTCCCAGGCCCAAGCAAATTCTTACATTCTTTGGGTTTTGCCATTTTCAGTAAGGTGGTAATAATTTTAACTTTACACACAACTGTAATGTACATGCTGCTAAGTGATTTAATCAAGATTATCCTTGGATAACATTAACCAGCCTTTTTAAGGGGTGTTTTGCAACTCACAGTTAGCTGCTTTACATTTTAATTGTAACTTATGAAAACTTTCCCCAAAGTTTGAAGGGATCCTACAATCTTTTTCTATTTGAAGATAGTAAAAAGGCTTATTATACTTATTCATATAACCCCTTTCTGCAATAAGATATAATAGACAAGATATTTAGGATGAATTAACAAATATTAGTTGAAATGTGAGAACAAAGAAAAGAAGAAAACAAATACACTTACCAAAAAGTCACTATGATTGCTTTTGGTGTGCTTCATGTTTAGTTGTGAGCTAATATAGCCAGGACAAAAACAAAAATATTTTAGATTCATAATTTGTATTACAAAAAGGAGAATGTGTGTTAGTTCCCCTGAGGAAGCAGAGTTTTTCCTGATGTCATATTATAAAAGAAACTTTTTATGCATCATTATGTAGAGTACGTGTATTTTTTAATCTGATTTATTTACCTGATTTATTTCTTGCTTTTTCATTTTATTATTGTTGGTTGTGTTTATTTTCCTAACTTTGGGGAAGCAGAATTATTCCTAGTACCTACATTCCTGACCATGCGTATTGTTAATTGAATATATACTCAAAAATAATTATTGATAATAATTAATTTCACAAGTAAATAAACTTAGGTTTTGGTTTTAAAAAACAAATTTATTATTTCTTACAATCTTGCTATCTTGGGTAGCATAGTTCTAAGATACAATGCCCTTATCTTTCTTTATTCGTGTTAGTACTTAACACATTTTATTATAATTTCTTTATATGACATCTCCCCAAATAGTCACTTAACTGTGGGCTCCACTAGGTCAGGAATCCTATCTAATTCATTTGTAACTCTAATGCTACCCCATTGCCTGTGCGTAATAAAGTATTCAGTAAATATTTTCACGAATGAATAAAATTGACTTTAAGTATATTCTCTCTCTTTTTTATAATTCAGAATTATGGCTTGGAAACAGAAAATCTAAAAACCCTTTCTCACAAGTTGAATGCATCTGCCAAAAATCTACAGAATTTTATAACAGGAAGGAGAAGGAGTGGCCATTATGATGGGAGGACCAGCCGAAAATTGCCAAACGACTTTCTGACCTCAGTTGTGGATCTGATTGGAGCAGCCAAGAGTCTGCTTGCATGGTTGGACAGGTAAAGTCTTCCACGTGTTTCATAAGTGTCCTCTCCTCAGACACCAGTTTGAATATAACATTATTTTGCATTTTCTTGTGAAAGGATTGGACAGGCAGAGTACCAATTAATAAATGTCTAATGATGATTTAGACATTTAGATTTAATACCCCACAATATAGGGGTATCAAACAGATATTAATCCTTTATAAAATTTGATATCCAACTAAGTAGCCAATCAATAATTAGTCCGACAACTGTAAAATACCTTGCTGCTTTATAAGCAAAATCATTATTTGGCTGTCATAATAAAATTTATAAATTTTTGTTTATTATACTACTGCTTTGTATCCTGATGTTCTTTATTCATATTAATTGGTTGTACTTAAGGAAATGACCATGGGGATGCTATAAACTGTTTTAAATAGGTAATTAGACACTGACACCTTCCTAGCATGCCTTGTGTGTCTCCTTGGCCTCACTTCATTCGTTCTCTGTTATTAATTACATTGTACTATTTTGGATATCATAAACACACTTTTAGACTTTTTTAAGTTTAGGTGACTTTCATTTGTTTTGGAACATGTAAAATAGTATAAAAGTCTTGTAATATGAAATGGAAAGGTTAGATTTACATTATATACTGTATGTGGTTAAACATTATAATGTTAAGACACATTGCAACTGTTTATTAAAAAACTAAATTTCTCTTCTTTCAGTTTTGGAATTTTTGGTAAGGAGTATGTACTATGTTTAATGGCTAAATAATCAAATTTAAAAAATGCTCTTTGTCTCTCATAAGAAACTCTGATAATATACATTATCAGAATTCTTTCTTGAATAAATGTCAGTAGGATATCCATATGTGTTCCTACACACACACACACACACACACACACACACATATACACACGCCAGTATTACATTTTGGCATTTTAGAAACATGAGGCCTTATATTAAAAGTAAAGCTTTTGTATTTTTAAGGTGAAAATTGAGATAATTTTCCTTAATTTTATATATACTTATACATAATATAAAGTGATGATACTAAACCCAAATATGAAACACTAAACTATATATTACTAGCTTTTTGATAATTAATGGACTGCATGTTTCTTTTGCATTATAACATTATTAAAATGTAATATTCTTAATTGTCTAAACCACATTATCAAGTGTTTAAATTAATTGAATTTTAAATATATACATTCCAAAAGTTATGAATGGTCAGTAAGTAAAATATGGCTTAGTCCTTAAGTACTATTAATATGTTTGTTTTGGTAGGCTTCACAGTAATCAGAAGGCTTAAAGAACACATCCTTGATTATAATTATATCTTCTTTTACTCTCATTTTCCGTATAATTATAAATTTGCCCAGCCTTGATATTTTCATTTAGTAAATTCATTTATATATTTTTTACCCTAGTATTTGTTAGATGGATAAATTGTTAGAGTGAATAGAGAATGTTTTTACTTCTTGATGACAGATATGGCTATTTATAAAATCGCACATTTCCCACACTATAGTAGTCCTTGAGATTTTATTGTACCAATTTTTTTATGGTGGCATTACTTTCATTATGTAATAAAATGCTTTCGGTAAGTGCCAAATCACCTACAAAACACATATGTGCATACACACCTACAAAAACACATAAACACACACACAGTGTGTCAGTGCAGATTTGCTTTAATTTGGGGGATTTAAAATGAACCCTGCAAATGAATACTGCCAAGCATTTGATCTTTAACTTTAGTTTATTCCTTCGATATACAGTACTTTAGTTGAAGAATAAAAATTTTGCCCGTTAAATAGGATTAATTTCATGTTAAGCAGCTGTCTTCATTTTTAAACAGCTATAAGTTTTATGGCATTACAAAATTTTTATTACATTTTGGAGAAAATGTGCATCCACAGCAATATGATTTGGGTTTATTACAGTTTTTATTTTATGTCACTTGAAAGAGGAGAAAGAAAAAGAAAAAATAGGTAAAAAAAAAATTAATTTTATTCTAGATGCTGAACTAGATGCTTTATACATACATATATACTCTCGGCTCATTGAATTCTCACAAAGCAGATATCGTTATCTCCATTTTACATATGAAATGTGAAATAACTTGCCTAAAGTCATTCATCTAGTATGAAAGTTATACTTTGAATCAATTTTTGTCTGACACTGAAGTCCTGTTATTTTTTCGTTCATGTTCCTTTGTCATGCTACACCTTGTTTTGAATGCTGACTAATTCTTGAGGATTTTGAGGAAGGGATGTGGCATATAAACCTTTATTTACATTTTGCTATTTATCTTCAAAAGCTAAATAAGAGTACCACTTTTCTGTTTTGGGCCTCAGTATCTGAAATTGCTACATAGAACTTCATTAATAGAAAAGGTTTATTTCGCTGTTTATGGTAAAAGTTTACTGTTTTATCTCATTTTTAACATTAATATTTACTTCTAATTGTTTCTAAAATACCTTTCAAGATTATTCTGTTTTAAAGGGATCAATGAGATTTTTTTTTTATATCATTGAAAAACCTTTAAGTGTTTAAGGCATAATAGTGTGCTAGGAAAATAATATCAATGGAGCTTCCATTTAAGTGAGATATACTTTCAAAGACCAGCTCCTTACATTTCCTAAATAAGATAAAATCTAAGGTTAACACAATTCCGTTTTTTTCTCCTATTTAAAATATTGATTTCAGTGAAACACCAGACTTTCCCAGAGGAATAGTCTCAGAGGTGAATCACAGTTGGTAGCTTTACTGTTTATTTTCAATGCATGATTTACTTGTCTATTTTTAACCTAGATCCTACTGTTTTTGACACCTTATATTTCTTGCAGTTTTCTGTGGCTTTGCCAAATCGATCTATACTCAGAAGTTTACAGATCACTACAAGTGTTACGTTGTACAGTAACATTAGTAATAATGTTCAAAATTTTTATTAAACAAAGTTTATTTTGCCTTCCATAGTAAAAGTTTTTTTTCCTTCATTTTTACCAGTAATACCCCATTCTGATAGTTTATAAAATACCTTTTTAAGGCCATCCTGTTTTGATGGGATCAATGAGATCTCTTTATATCTTTGAAAACCTTTTACATATTGAAGGCATAAGAGTTTAAGGTACTAGGAAATTTTTGTTAAGATTTCTTTGAAATTTTTTGTCTTATGTAAGAAAATTGTTAAACTAATTTCTTCTTCCATGGTAAGAAACTATAGGACAAATTAATTTTATACCAGGAAAAATATTACAGAGACCAAGAAAACTACATTAAACACTACCAGATAATGTGATTCATTGTTTGGTCTTATTTTCTCTCATGTGCTCATTGCTTCTCACTTGGCACTAATTATTCCAGGGAAGAGCAGTGACATTAGCACTACTATTATTCATGGACTACCCTAAGGTTTCAGCAGTGCCAACCTGAGAAATAGTAAGGCATTCCAGATTTTCCTTATTAACCTCTTAGCTTTCCTTATTAGTTTCTAATTTGTTTAGGATTTCTGAACCGTTAATAACCTTTTTATAAATGTAATGCTTTTGTTTAGCTATCATGTACAAAGAATAATTTCTTATAGGGTCATAAACTTTTGCGCCAGAGAGAAATATAAGCATCGTATTATCTATATGATGATTTAAGGAGTACAGTTGCTTAATTTTTAAGATCTAAATAGGATAATTCCTGTAACAACCACTTAGCAATGATCCAAGGATTTTATCTTTTTTTCTCTTTCTGGCATCGAAAAGCTTTCTTGCTATGAATTTAATTTCCTTTAATTAGAGTTATTGTGTTCTTCTTGTAAGTACCCTGAACTCTACTTGAGGGTTTCTTCAGACTTAAGAACAGTTTCTTTATTTTTGTTTTTGATTTTGTTTTTGTTTTTGTATATGTGTGTGTGTGCATGCGTGCGGATCATGTTCAGTTATTCTACAGAGATCTATTGTTTTTACTCTCATAGATGATCATTAAGCCATGACTGAGGGATAATCTTTGGTAACCCACAAAGACTGGAATGCCACCTGACCTTTTACCCTTATTTGTATGTAGATGCAGCCCAAATCATCATACCAAACCTTAAAATCTGCTGGCTAAGAATGGCTGTTAGTACAGTTGTATGTGATTTGCCTGTAAGATAAAAACTTTAGGATAATTCTAAATCACTATAAAATAAAATCTGTTTTCCTTAGTATGTGTTTAGATTTTTCTTTTCATTTTTTCTTGAAATTTAATCTTGAGTGAGAAGCTTGTCCTACTTAAAATATGAATGGTCAGGAAAGTGGAAAACATGCCTTGGAATTCAGTTTGCTATAAGCATTTAGTGATCAAATGGGGTTTTTCTTTTCTGTATTTGAAAATCAAGTGAGATTCTTTTAAGTAGTTATGGTAAAACAAAATGAAACAAACATTCTGTGTATCACCTCATCACTTCTTAATGAAATTTTAAGATTTTATAAACAGACTCTGACCTTTTCAAACCTAGGAATCGAAACTCTTTTCTAATCATGCCAGAAGCATTTTTGAATTCTTACTTTAAAATGCCAGTTTTTATGCTTCAATGCAGCAAAAATGGTCTCTATGTAATTTTTTTTTCTTTTTTTTTTTTTTTGAGACAGAGTCTTACTCCGTCGCCCAGCCTGGAGTGCAGTGGCATGATCTCGGCTCACTGCAACCTCTGCTGCCCAGGTTCAAGCAATTCTTCTGCCTCAGTCTCCCGAGTAGCTAGGATTATAGACACCCGTCACCACGCTCAGCTAATTTTTGCATTTTTAGAAGAGATGGAGTTTCACCATCTTGGCCAGGCTGGTCTTGAACTCCTGACCTCATGATCCACCTGCCTCGGCCTCCCAAAGTAATTTTTAAAAATAATGATATTCTCCTAGAAGTGCTTATATTTTTCATTAAAAAATATTTTTATTAAGTCACCTAGAAAGCATCCTTGGTCATCATTGTCTCCTTCCCACCTGGCCCAGAGATGCTTAAATTCAAGTTGTTTCTCCAGCTCTCACCTCCCCCAGGAGATCAGGATTTCACTGACGTCCTGGGCAGCCAGTGAATTTAATTTTCCATGAGAAACGACAGAGTTAACCTGTGGCAATAGGAGACCTACTTCATGTGGACCTTTTTTTTCCCTTCAGTTTAACTTTTCTGGAACAGTGTGCTGCGTAGTTCAGCCTGAGTTTGTGCAGCTTGTTAAGACACCTCTTGTGTACACTATGTTGAAGCTCCACAGAAAAGTCATGGGACTACTTCTAGAAACCTTTCAACTGTCAGGCCTGTCAGTCTCATGACAGCTTGTTGGTTGTGCCAAACACTTTATTTGGGAAAGGAAAGCCCAGATTTGAATGGGTGTTTCCCCTGGGCCTTATCCTATAGAGGCATTTGTAATATGGATAAAATAATTTTTCATTTTTGCTCATTTAATTCTATAAATTCTCTTTTGAATGAATTTTGTGTTCTTTAGTTCTCCTTAAAAGAACTTTTGAATTATAAAAATAAATTCTTTACCCGTCGAAAAAAAAATATTTTTGTTGAGGCCTAATTTATTTTCTATAAATTAACCTATTTTAAGTATACAGTTTGATGAGTTTTAGTAAATTTTGATAACACCTATACAACCACCTTTACAATCCAGTCTTAGAAATCTTCCATTAGGATGGATTTTTAAAAGTTGGTTTCTGCTTACATTAAAGAGGTTAATTTTTTTACTGAGAATTTTGATTAATCACATTTTTTTCTAATTCAATTTTTAAAATTCTTATGTCTCCTTTTATTTAAGTAAATTATCTTGAAAAAATATACTGGGTTTTGGAGTAGGAATAGATAAGTTCATGAAAGAGAGCCTATAATACACTGTGGTATAGTCATGCATTGCTAATGATAAGAATTGGCAATTTTGTTGTGCAAACATTATAGAGTATGCTTACATAACCTAGAAGGTACAGCCTACTACACACCTAAGCTGTATGGTATATATAGCCTGTTGCTCCTAGGCTACAAACTGTACAGCATGTGACTATAGTGAATACTATAGGCAATTGTAACACGATAGTAAGGATTTATTCCATATCTAAACCCAGAAAAGGTACAGTAAGAATAAAGCATTATAATCTTATGGGACCACTGTGGTGTATGTGGTCTGTTGTTGACCAAAACGTCATTTTATGCAGCACATGACCGTATATAAAATCATTTACAAAACAATATGTTAAAACCACCAGAAAAAGAAAGGGCCATTTAGTAAATTGTAGTGGGGCACTTGGTTAAGCCTTTAGAAAATAGATAATGATAGAGCACTATTTTTCTTCACTAAAATAAATTTTAGATATATCAGATATCTAAGAAGAAAATATAAATTTACAAGAAAACTAGAAAAAATATAGGCAAAAAATGATTTCTGGATGTGAAAAGACTTTCTAAGTATTTTTAAAATGGAATAAAATACAAAGGAATGTACTGTTGACTACATAAAAATGAAAAATGTAACAAAGTATAAGATGACAAGCTGGGAAAAATATTTGCAACAAACATGAAAAGCAGAGGGTTAATGTGTAATGTGTAATATTCATATATGAACATATGTGAATATTCATATTGATAAACAAAACCCACCAAAATGTAACAGATGCGCATATAAGTAGGTAAATCAAAAAAGAGGAAACAGAAATCACTGGTAAGATGTATATATCAAAAAACAGAGCTTTAAAGTGCATGAAGCAAAAACTGATAGAATGAAAGAGTAAATAGACAAATCCACAGTTGTAGATTTCATTTCCTCTTTCTCAAGAATAGATAAAATTAAACAGAAAGTCAGTAAGATTAGAAAAGCTGAGCACCACCACCTAACAACAAAAAAGTTGACATTTTTAGAGCACTTCATCCAACAGCAGGAGAACAAAAATTTTTTTCAAGTACCCATTGAACATTCACCAAGATAGACTGTATCTGTATCATAAAACAAAATTCAGCAAGTTTAAAAGAATTGAAATCAGATGATAAAATGAAACTAGTAACTCATACAACACACTTATAAGTAATCCAACGGTCAAGTCTCATGGAAAATAAAAAGTAATACATTGAACAGAATGAAAAAAGACCAAATCATAATTTGCGGCACACAGCTAAAGCAGTGCTGAAAAGGAAGTGTATAGCACTGAATGCTTATATATATCAGAAATTTATATATTCAAAATATATCAGGAATATATGTAGTAAATATATCAGAAGCACTGAGTGCTTTATATCAGAAAAAAAGAAAGATCTCAAATCAATCATTTAAGTTCCCATCTCAAGAAAATAGAAAAATAAGAACAAAATAAGCACGGAGCAATAAGATCCTCTTAAGGATAAGAGCAGAAATTAGTGAAATTGAAAACAAACAACAGAGAAGTCAATCAAAATGTAAAGATTAATGAAGGAATATTACAAATAACTTCAGACATAAATTTGGTAGCTCAGATGAAATAGACCAATTCCTTGAAAAATAGTACTAAAACATAACCCAAGATGAAATAGATACTCTGAATAATCCTATAACTATTGAAGAAAGAGAATATTACCTAGAAATGCCTCAGGGTGTGGAGAAAAGCTGCAGGCTCAAATGATTTCACTGGTGAATTTTATACATTTAAAGAAGAAATAACACCATTTCTACACCATCTCTTCCAGAAAATAAAGGCGGGAACTTTTCCTATATCAGTTTTTGAGGCAATCATTATCCTGATACAAAACCCCCCCAAAAAACAAAAAACAACTGCAGACCAATATTTTGCAGGAACTTAGATGTTAAAACCCTCAACAAAATATTACCAAACTAAATATAACCATGTGTAAAAAGAATTATACACATGACTAAATGAGCTGCTTCAAACACTTGAAAATATATCAAGTATGAAGTATACAGGTCCACCACTTACTAGTTGTGTGACCTTAGATAAGTCACTTAATCTTTCTTTACCTTATGTTTCTCATCTGTAAAATGAGAATAATAATAGTGCCTATCTCATAATGGTTGTGAAGATTAAATTATCTAATACATGTAAAGCATTTAGAATAGTAACTGGCACATAGTGAGCCCTCAGTGAACCTTAGCAGTTGTTATTACTAGCTCTTAATTGTGAATATTCTAAATAAATACTGTACTCAGAATCTTGGGTTCTTTTGAAAATAAACTAACATGTTATCTTTGCCTAAAGTATTCCTTTTTTGTTTTAGATGTAGTGAAAATACCTTGTAAGAACCAAAGAACTTCTAAATAATTAAGAACTTTAAAAAGAGAGAAATTTGGTAGAAAGCAAACATTATATTTCCTGAATTTAATGCTCTTCCAATCATTTCTTTCAAAACTTTCCTTGAAATAAGTCCTGAATATTTTTGTCAGTATGCAAATTTCAGAACAACTTATTTCATATTATTGAAAAACTCATTTTAGGCTATTATATTTTGGGACTTTTCAAAAGCTGTTACTAGTAATCACAATTTTCCTTTTCCCTTTATAGGTCACCATTTGCTGCTGTGACAGACTATTCAGTTACAAGAAATAATGTCATACAACTCTGCCTGGAGTTAACAACAATTGTGCAACAGGTATTAGCTGACAAACTTTCCTTCTGTTAATTTATTAGCAACTTCATATTCCAACAATGGGAAGTATCCTATGTACCAAGAGTTTGTAAGATACTGGTTTAGAAGTTTCTCAAAGACAAATCGTTCTAAAGAAATGAAATGTGTAATTATTTATTGGGAAACTATGCATATAGCTCAGTTAACTTACCAAAAGATATAAAAGGAACCTGACCTGTACACATACAAACAAATGTGTCTAATAGCTTTTAACAATGATCTAATTACCTGAACTGATTTTCCACTTCGAATATTATCTAAGCCAGGGATCCCCACACCAGATGCCTTCAGGGTCCAGCAGCTAATATAAATGTTTGAATTAAGTCTGGTATAAGGCAAGGAGAAATGGAAGAGACTTGGGTGAATTGACTAGAACATATCCAAACATATCTTTTAGAGGAAATGTAATTATAGGCATGATATATCAGTGGTTGTAAATTATCTCTTAAATAATCTGTTCTTTTTCTACTGTGATGTGATGATATCTCTTTTCAGTAGCAAGTTTTTCTGGGCTCTGTGATCTCTTGCTACCTGTAGTAGCAAGAAGAATAAGGATTAATAGGTAAAATAATGAAATAAAATAGTTAAGTGTTTATTTCTTTATGGCGAAGCTATGGGTGATTTTATTTAGACTCTACTTTTCTATATTTTCCAAATGAATTTTTATTTTCTAAAATGAATTTGAGTTATCAAAAAAACAAAAAAGAGTGTTAAGTACATTGAAGAAATACCTCTTTAAGTTTGCCAAAGGAACACAGCTTAGACGAATACTTAAATTTTACTTTAAAATAAATTACCTAGCTTACAAACAGTTAATGTTCATCTAACCATCTAATTCAGCCATTATATACATACTAATCACTGCATTTGATTGGAATTGTATGAAGTGTCTGAAGACAGGAATTAAACTTAAGCTTCCAGTAAAAGAGGCCAATTTGAATAAGCAAGGTGTAGACTTTAAAAAATATCTAGGGCATGCATTTATTACCAGGCTTTCAAGAAATCTCATCTGAACAGTTATGATGATGGTTATGCTTTGAAATATGCTGTGCTTCAAATTATTTTTCACTTAGCTTTAATTATTTTTATTCCCTTTGCAGCAAGATGAGATAATCAATATCTAAAAATAAACTGTCACAAATGGCTTTTTTCCCCTTTCTAACACAAAGTGGTGGTACTATGAAGTAAAAAGAAAGTGCTGCTTGATATTAGCCACTTATATTTAAAATAATACTAAAATTGGAGAAAGTTAATGTCAGTTTCTTTTGAAAACCTCCATTTGCAGGAATTTGTTTAATCTACTATATTTATTTTACTTATTCCCAGTTGTGATGGGTTTGGATCATTGTATTTGAAGCCATTTAAAGAGATTTCTCCTCCCCTCCCCAACACTTTCGTCACATAAGATTGGTTATAACGACACTTTTGAAAAAAAAAGAGAAACTGGTTTTAAAATCTTAAATAGAATTCTCACAAAGAACTGAAGCTTCATTTAGAACACTGTCAGCAACTGAATCAGAACAATGAGACAGGTACCCACACGCTACTTGTCAGCATTTAAATAATTGCCGTGATGCCTTCCTTAATGGATATCAACTTAACCTAAAATTATTCTACTGTACCATTTTTATGTTCTCTACTTCAAACACAAAAATGGTGAATTAGATTGTCACTAGTTAAGAAATAAGCACAAAAGTGTTGGTTTGCAAGATGAAACTTTGTTGAAGTTTAAAATACACAGGTCATGGTGGTAATCTTGGAGGATTTGAGACTCAGCCCTGTTGTTTCATAATGATTCCACATTGGACAAACTGTGTCATTGCTTTCACCCTCTGTAAACAAAAGTAATCACATCTACCTCAAAGTTTTTGTAAGAATCAAATGAGATTTATTTTAAAATAGTTAAGACTTGGAATCAACCTAAATGCCCATCAATAGTAGACTAGATAAAGAAAATGTATATATACACCATGGAATACTGTGCAGCCCTGAAAAAGAATGAGATCATGTCCTTTGCAGCAACATGGATGGAGCTGGAGGTCATTATCCTAAGCAAACTTAACACAGGGACAGAAAACCAAATACCATTATCTTCTCACTTGTAAGTGGGAGCTAAACATTGAGTACACATGGACACAAGGGAACAACAGGTACTGGGGTCTACTCGAGGGTGGAGGGTGGGAGGAGGGTGAGGATTGAAAAACTACCTTTCGGGTACTATGCTCATTACGTAGGTGATGAAATCTATACAGCAAACCCCATGATACCCAATTTACTTATATAACAAACCTGCACATGTACCCCTGAACCTAAAATAAAAGTTAAAAAAGTAAAATAAAATAAAAATAGCTGATGAATGTAAAGTGAAAAACAAAGATGAAAGTAATATTATTTACAAAAAATGGGTAAGGAATAAAGAGACTTGATAAAAGGAAGTGAAACAGGAACTTTGTTTTGAAAAATAAATGTCAGAGATTTTTTTCTCCGTTTGGTGTTAGTTTTCATGAGCTGCATTTACGGTGAAATCTGAATTAGGTGCTGAGGGAAAAATTCAAACATGTTGAAGAACATTTTAAATCAGATTTTGAAATGTTAAATACAGAGTCTTCTTAATACTCAAGTTTTGACAATATGCTTTTTACCTGAACTGGTCCTCTCTAAACTGTATTTATTAAAAATCTTTTTCTGCTTGTTTATGGGTTTGTTCATTTCTAACCTTCTTAGATCCATTTTCCATGTTATTGGTTATCACTGGTTGTCTGAATAGTGTTAAAAACATTTTACAAAAAACTATAAGTAAGAATATTTACAATAATCCAATCTGAATTATGCAGAAACAATTAGTGCTGTCGCTTTGGTCTTTCCTGTAATAAATGTCTTTACTTAAGTTGTTATTCTGACTTTCTGCCAGTTCTTTTGTTTTACTTTGTTCCATATTTACCTGTCAGATGTATTTTATTTTCTAAACCTTTATTCAATTAAATGGAAAAATATTCTTTGAAGATCAGTATTAAAAATGTTTATTTTTGATGGACAGCCTCCTTTAAATTATGTGTATGTGCTTTCTATTCACTTGTGTTACCTTTATAATATTTTAAATATAGAAAATAAAAGTAAACAATTTATGAAACATCCTCTAAATCTGCATCTTAAAATAAAGATATAAATGAGCATATTGAGTATATAGCCCTTTTTAAATATATTCCTGCTCAAATGTAATTTAACCATTTTATCTATTTTATCTTAATCAAGTTGTTAATTGCTCAAGGTAAATACTTGAGAAAATAAGAGTTTTTAGGACTTATTGATCTGGGATTTGTGTTTTAAATGCTTAGAGCACAAATTTGTAAATACTGTTTAGAAAGATTATAAAATTTTGTTAAAATGAATAGCCCAGAAGTAACTTTTAGTTTCATTAAGGATTTATTCAAGGAAATTTAGCTTGCAGTTTTATTGATTATATATATTATATTTTACTTAATTACATTCATGTATATGAATACTACTTCATTTATCTTCTTAGTTGACATTTCATATAATTAACTTTCATAATTTATGACAAAACAGTGTAGTGGGCTTTGACATGAAGTAGATCCAAGTTCATCATCCTGGCTTTGCTTTTCAACAAACAGTATAAACTTGGCCAAATTACTTCGTATCTCTGATATTATTTTTCTTTTTCTGTAAAAGTGGATCCCTACCATTTTTAGATTATTGTTGAACTGTTGTAAATATTTGAAACTGATTTAGCCCACCATCTGGCATATAGTGGGAGCTTAATAAATGGCCACTCAAGTTATTTTGTGTAACAAAGGAGCCTTTGGAAATGCTAAACTCAGCTAGTTTCTTGCTCCACAGAAAATTTCAAGGAGTGATGCTCTGCTTGCTTTTGGTATTGAGTGGCAATGAAGAAAGATCTCATTTCTAAAATGAGAGATTTTTTTTAAAAAAAGGATTTTGGTATAATTCAGAATGTTCTTTAGATTTTAATGCAAATTCATTACTGTGCTTCATTTTCTGCAAGATATGTTTAAACATTCATGTTCAAATGTAATGCAGAAATTAATTTTGATTACCCAGGGATATATCATCTCTATTCACACATTCAAATTCAAGTAGTAGATACACGTAAAGGTGTAAAATGGGGATATAAATTATGCTGGAGTAGGCAAGGTATATATTCTATCATTAATACGGTAAGTGTTGAAAGCATATGAAAAGCCTGTCCAGGATGGTCTTACAGATGTTTAAAACACAACTTTAAATACTATTTTTACTATGTACTCAGAGTTAGTGTTTAAACCTTCCTGAATCAGACATTCTAGGTGACCTGAAAATTTTATTGGGGCTCTTGAGATTGAAACTGGGACATTTCAGACCAAAAAACAGGACAAGCTTTATATGCATTTTTAAAACAATGTGGATTATATTAGCATACTCAATGAAGGCAATATAAAAGGTGATTCTGTCTTTTCACTTTTTTCTTTTATTTTTAGTTGACACATAATTGTATATATTTATGGAGTACAGAGTCATATTTCAGTACATGTATACAATCTGTAATGATCAAATCAGGGTAGTTAGCCTATCCATCATCTCAAATATTTATCACTTCTTTAGGGTGGGAACATTCAAAATCCTCTTTTCCAGCTTTTTGAAAATATACAATAAATTATTGGTAACTATATTCGTTCTACAGTGCTATAGAACACTAGAATTTGTTCCTCCCATCTATCTGTAATTTTGTATCTATTAACTTATCTCTCCCTATCCCCTCCTCTCTCCTACCCTTCCCAACGTCTAATAATCGGTCTACTCTCTACTTCTATGAGCTCAATTTTTTTAGCTTTTGCATATGAGTGAAAACATGTAATATTTATCTTTCTGTGCCTGACTTATTTCACTTAACATAATGTCCTTTAGACTCATCCATGTTGCTGTGAATTATAGGATTTAATTCTTTT